TTGTATCCCTCCAGTGTGTTGGGGCAGAAAAAAAGATTGAGAAGTATTGACTTAAATGGTTTGTTTTTAAATCTAATTATGGCGTGAGTTCCAACAGTGACAGGATATACTGTAAGTTTTCCACAGTCTTCAAGTAAGCTGAACATTTTTTAGTAGGCTTGCATCTTAGTGCTCTGATGATCACTTTTGTTTTTGCTTGGTTGTGTTTTACAGGAACAAAGGAGAAACAGGCTAGCCAGAGAATTACCTTCAGCTGTATCACGAGACAAGGTAAAAAAACAATGTTTTTAAAGCATATTCTGACTAAGCAAAGATGGATTGCTGAGCCTCAGAGTATTACTCACCCCTAGGAGTAACTTTTATCTTTTTCTCCCCTTAATGTTCCATTGGACTTATTTCATTGTTTGAGTAAAGGTATGCAAATGCAAAAACAGGCTTTGAATAATTTAAAGATAATTGGTATTTTTACAGAGAGCAGGCTATAAAGATGGGAGGAGGGTTGGGGAGCTCGGTGAAAAAGGTGAAGGGATTAAAAAATACAAAATTGGTAGTTACAAAATAGTCACAAGGATATAAAGTGTAGCAAAAGGAATATAGCCAGTAATACTGTAATTATGTATGATGCCAGGTGGGTTCTGGAATATCAGGAGTGGTGGGTAACACTTTGTTAAGTATATAATGGACCCCATGCTGTACACCTGAAACTAATACAATATTGAATGTCAAGTGCAATTGAAAAATAAAAAAATTTAAATAGTATTTTTAATGCATAGAGGTAGATTTTATGTGTCCAGCCTTATTTTTTAAAAAATTCAGTGACTTTATCAATTTTGTAAATGACTGACTTTATTATATACCAAGATTTTTTGGAGAGGAAGGACAACAATATGCACATAACAGGTTAATACCTATAACAGCTGCACGCGTTGTTTCTGTGTATAAAAATCCATTACCTCGAGTTCTTTACCAGAAGAGATTCCAAAAGTAAAAATGAAGTTTTGGGGTTTGGATTTTCTTAGGCACCCATCTGAAGAAAGCCTTTGACAAAGGTGGCATTAGTCCAGGAAATAAGGCAGCCTGAACATTAATTTTATGTCCCATGATTACTTTTGTTTTTCATGTTACTTCACTACTTTGATACAGAGGGAAAAATTCACATTTATAGAATGTTTCTGAATGCATTTTGGCATCCTTGATTTTTTTCCCCCTGCATTTTTTGCCTTTAGTCTTCTAAAGTTCCAAGTGCTTTGGCACCTGCCTCCCAGGAGCCCTCCCCTGCTGCTTCTGCTGAGGCTGATGGCAAGGTCTGTTCTGATTCTTAATCTAAGCCTGCATGCCTAGGTGTTTGGTGCTCCATCATCTGGAAACAATATGCGGAATAGCAGAATATTAATATGGGCTATATAAAACAATGTGTACTTATACATTTTTCTTGACATGCTTTTGCTTATAATATAAAAGATGCACACAGAAAAAGAAGTTAAAGAGGAAATTATTCTGCATTTTTTTAATTTCAAGCCATTGATACTGAAATTTTGCTTTTTAAACTGCATGTTTTAACATATCTTTTAACAGTTAATTCAGGACAGCAGAAGAGAAACTAAAAATGTGAGTCCCTTGTTTCAGAATGGCAATGTTGGTACCTTTGGTTCTCACTGAGATGCTGTTTCAAAACCATTCAAGAACCTGTCTGTACAGTGGCATCTGACTCCTTGTCTCTGTTGTGTTCTTAATGTTTCTGTTATCTAACTAACCCCTCAAAGATGGCATCAATTCTAGTTTTAGCATTATTTTAACTAGTACTAGGCCTTCTCACTGTTTTCCGTTACCTCCAAGAATAGTCTGGAATGTAGTATTTTGGTAGGGAATTAAGATTCCAAAGACGGAAATTGTGCTTTTGGACATTTCCTCTGTAAAGGGTCCGAGATCGGTCCAGTACTGATGGGTATTCCCCTCAGGCTTCTTCCTTATGCTTCCATTCAGTTTGCACTTGTCACTGTATGTGTGTAGCTTAACATGAGCCTCAATAGCTTACGCACATCAATGCAAAGGGGGGCTGTGAGAGTTTGAGACTGTTGTTAATTCCTGATGACCTTTTCGGGGAAAATTAATAATCTGTAAACTTTTCAGACCCATTCTTTTGGTTTTTCTGCCATTTAATTTAGCTCCTTTCCTTATTGTCCAGATTTAAGGTTGCGAACCTCAAACAAAATCTGATGAATGTCTTGCCTTTTCTCAGCCCACTGTGCTCAGATCTTAAGAGAACCATTTAAATCGTTGCTTCAGTGTTTTCACTCATGGCATCACCCTGCATTCGCTTACTTTCCTTAAGATTCCATGTTATGTCATTCATGTGTAGTTAACAGGCATTTAAAAATTAATGTGTGAATATACTGCCTATATTTAGATAAAGCTCATCTTAGCTAGAAAATTTAGGCCAGAATGATACCAAAAACTGACATTTTTAAACAATTGCCATGACACTCTTCTGTGAAGTTTATGTAAGCCATTTTCATTTCTACCCATAAATCTTAGATGTGCTGTTTATCCATTTTAGAGTGTAAGATCTTAAAGAGCATCTGGTCTCTTAAATGTTGATGAATTACTGTTTTCTCATTATCCTGGCTCCCCCCCCCCACCCTCACAGAAATCAAGACTAAGATATCCTAAAAAAGGAGGTGAAAAAGCAGTTTGATTAGTGGTAGCACTAGATTTCTTCCAGCAGATGGTTTTTCTAGAGTATAGATATTGAGAGTACTTGGGTTTATGTCACATTTCACATTTTAGGCAGTTTAAAGTCACTGTCAGCCTAAATATCACGAGTATATATATTCTTGTTTCTTTAATTTAAAAGTTTTTTACCCAATGATTTTTTTGACTAAATGAAAAGTAACTTGAGTTCATGGAACTTTTGGAGAGATTATACCGTTCAACAGTGTTTAAGGTTACTTTAAAGAATTTAAGATGAGCGGTAGTTTTGTTTTTCCTTGTGCTTGTAATGAGTAGTCTCGTTTTTAAGGGCATCTTATACTTTTTCTACAACCTAGTGTTAGAGGGTTTGGAAATAAGGAAAAACTTTGAAAACCAGCAAATACTAAAGAAGAAAGGAAATAAATAATATTGCTGGAAGTCTTACAAACATTTTATAGTAGAATCTTTTAGTTAGCTCAGGGTTTCAGCTATACATGCCAGTCCATCTATTTCCCTGTTACAACTCCTGCTGGGTACTAGATGTTCTCCTTGACTACTTACTGTCAAAGAAAAGAAACTTTGTTTAGTTAGATTTGGTATGGTTGACAGAGATTTTGGAACATCTGGTTTTTGTTTTTCAGGTTGCATCTGGAGGCGGTGGGGTTGGAGATGCTGTTCAAGAACCAACAACAGGCAACTGGAGAGGAATGCTGAAAACTTCAAAAGCAGAAGAGTTATTAGCTGAGGAAAAGTCAAAACCAATTCCCATTATGCCAGCCAGCCCACAGAAAGGCCATGCTGTGAATCTACTGGATGTGGTAAGCCATGAGAATTTGGCTGAGGACTAGTAAGACAACCAAATTACTAGGAAAACACTACAAAAGATAAAGGAACTAAAAAGTAGTATTTTTTCCTCTTCACCCTACTTAGCCAGTTCCTGTTGCACGGAAACTATCTGCCCGTGAGCAGCGAGATTGTGAGGTTATCGAGCGACTCATCAAATCATATTTTCTTATTGTCAGGAAGAATATTCAAGACAGGTTAGTAGTACATAATACAAATCAGACTATGATACTGCTGGATGATTCCAAAATCTGTTTTGAAATAATGCATTTTAAAATTTTTAGGTTTTTATTTTAAATCAAATGGGTCATCTTACTGTTTTGTTTTACAGTGTGCCAAAGGCAGTAATGCATTTTTTGGTTAATCATGTCAAAGACACTCTTCAGAGTGAGTTAGTAGGACAACTGTATAAGTCGTCCTTGTTGGATGACCTTCTGACCGAATCTGAGGACATGGCACAGCGTAGGAAAGAAGCAGCTGATATGCTAAAGGTATTGTGACTTTTAAAAATTTTCACATTCGTGTTGTAGATATAAACATCTGTGTTTTTTAAAAATACATTCTAATCCTTGGATATAGCTATAGTCTTCATATGGTGGCTAATCTTTTTTTCTGTTTGTATTTGACTAGATTCAGGATAGATATTGGTTAGTATAAATCAACCACAATAAATCAACCACATACTAAAGCAGAGATATTACCCCACATATTCAGATTCTTTGATATCATAAATATGGTTTTATAATTTTTATCTTCTTTAATGCAGGCATTACAAGGCGCAGGTCAAATTATTGCTGAAATCCGAGAGACTCATCTTTGGTGAAGAGAACTACATAATACCAAGACTTTGTTGAGTTCAAAGTTGCTAGTTACTGCCTACTTGAGTAGATTTTTATTTATGAACTCCTGTGTATTGCAGTGGTATGAATCTGCTCACATGAAGACTGGCTATAAACTGAAACCTGTACTGTGTATTACAGAATGAATTACACATTTAATCCAAATAATAAATGGGCGTTTCTAAAGTTTTCCAGTATATATAAAATATATCAAATCTGTCTTATGACAGTTTCCTCTGAACTTAAAAAGAAATGTTAGTGTTCTTACTGTACAAGCAGTCTGCCTGTGGATGAGATGACCTGTGTAACCTGTTAGTCTTCAAGCTGCTGCCATAGTCCTTCAAGAAGAACGCACCAAGACATTTCGTACAGCTGTACTGCATGCACTGTATAAACTGGCCTGGCTTTGAAAGATTGGGATTGACAAATTACTCACATAATCACTGTATTCCACCTGTCCTTGGATTTAGTTTTGTCTCTGCAACTTTGATGTGTTAGTAAGAAAGCTGGTGCACAAGAGGATCTGTAACTATGACGATGATGCGGTGTGCATAATGTGTAGCTACACAGCTCTTCCACGCCTGGGTCCACAATACCCTAGTGCATTAAAATACATTTGATTCTTACTTAAACCTGAAGGCATGAATTACATTTTCCTTTATTAAAAATCATCTAGACTTGATCATCTAGTAACACTTGGTGATAACCAGTTCCTTTGGTTTTTAGAGGTTCTAAAAAAAAATTCCCCTTGGTTTTCAAGTGTAGTAGTAGTTCAGGAACATCTTTAAATTGGGACACTCACACCATGCTCCAAGATTCACTTGGAGGTGAGACTTAAAACTAAATACTGTGCTGGTCATAGAAGTGTATCTTTTCTCTGTTAAATATTAGTTGGTAATAGTTCCTTTGCTTCACACAGTAAAATACATTAGACTAAAGATGTGAAATTATGGTGGAGCCTTATTTAAAAAAAACCCATACAGGCACACACACACACAATTCCTAATGGCTTACAGACTACTAAATTGTATTCTGGGATTTGGGGCTGAGGTTTAGAACAATATACATTCAATTAAAACTCCTCAGGTGACTCTTCGTATATGTTATAAATTTTAAGATAAGGGTCAAAATCCTTAAGGAATCTAGTTCTATTGCTAACCAGTAACATGTTAAGTAAATTGTATATTGCAGATATTAAATTCTTTTTAAGTTACATCAGTTACAAAGGACTACTGGCAATATGAATATACCTGTTAACTTTAGCTTGTGATACCCATGTACTAAAGAACAACAGGCTCACCAACTGATCTCAAACATAAAAGTGGGTTCAGTCCGATATGACATGGTACTCTGAATTGTGTTAGTAAGTAGCACACTTTAAAATTACTTTGCCATCATTATCAGCTTTGAAATGATAGCCATCCATGAGTTACTTATTTCAAACAGATCAGATGACTACTATTTTAGCCTTTTGAATTTTTAAGGGGAAAAAACCCTTTAATGCACCTTTCTCCAACATGTCAAATAGATTTCCAATTAAATGTTACCTTTAAAGACTTGCTATGATAATGCACTTTCTGGCACTATACACCCTGTACAAAGAAAAACAGGCAAGAAAGGTATGGAAAGAATACCTTTGTTGGCTCTTCAACTGAGTGAAGTTCTGAAATGTGGAGATGATCTATGATATTTAAAATGGATACCTATATGTTCTTGCTGTGTAAATAAAATTGCTGGTATGAAATGACATTAAAGTTGATCAATAAATGAATTCTTCCTAACTTTAGTCCCAGAAAAAGGTTTAAATTCTAGCTTTTTAACATACAGGTTTAATACAGTTTATACTGTATGAAAGTTTTATGACTTTCTTATTAGACTCTCAACAATTCACTGAAGTACCATATTTTGCTGTGTGTAATATGCAGGTTTTTTTGAGGGAAAAATAAGGATGCACAGTATTCGTAGGTATAATGATTACATAACATGGGAATAATCCATGTGCACTGCGCACAAAAACGTGTGCACATTGTATACAGGTGTACATTATACATGGCAAAATGCAGTATTACAGCTCTGTTTTTGCATATGAAAACAGTGACTTGCTCCAAGTAACCCAGGTAGCAGGTGCTAGAACCTGAACATTAAAGCCAGGCTCTGCCACCTGTAAGGCTTTCTGAGAGAAGTTTTATTGTGAACCATTTTGTAAGTTGTAAGCCTTTCACTTGATCCTCAGGGAAATTGGGTGCTATTGCCTTGATTTTTCATATGTGGCAACACTTCTGGAAATTTAACTTTCCTACTATCTATAGAACTTAACCAAGTCTTAATAACCAAAACCTTTATTTTTTTTATTTTTTCAGATCCTTTAAATTTGACCTGAAAACTTCCCTTACCAGGGTATCTTTTGATATGCTCATGTAATTGGAGGGTTGGTAACATAATTGCCTCTTAATACTTTTTTGGTTACTTAAGTTTTCAGTTTATCTCAAGTTGTGATCTGCTTGGGAAAGAGAAGTTGAAATTTAAAACTAATTTAAAAGTTTCCAAATGTATAAAATATCACAACCTTAATACAATCTGAAAAAAAAAATTGTGTAAATTTAGTTACACTGAAACACAGGTAAGGGAGTGGCAAACTGAATTAGAAACTTTCTGAAAAGTCAATGACTGATTTGAATCTTTTCTTTGAAAAGAAACTACTTTTATTGTAATTTCTCATTCCAGTTATGGCTTTATCTAACTATTCTTTATAAGGAGAACTCTATTTGCTTCCTAACAACAACAACAAAATCAGTTTCCAATACTAGATTTCACATTTCTAATGTGGACACTAGAGGCACTGCTGGTTTTAGAACAATGTGGACACTAGTGAGACGGATCAGATGTATACTTGATAAAAAAGAACCCACAATTCCACATTCTACCTTTTTCATCGTTCCTCTTTATGTCCAAAAAGGAGAGCAAGGATAGGATTGGAAAGACAGCATTTACTTTTTTCATGAAGTATAATTTTTAAAACAGACTGACCCTGGAAATCACAGTTTTTGATGGTAGTCCTAAATGTTTAAAGGATCGGGAAATAAAATATGTCATCATTACACAAACTTAATGACCAACCTATGTAAATAAAGAATTACTCACACTGTGAGGCTAGAGTATACTCCATTCTCTTGATTTGCATAAGTGAAGGTGTAAGTTCTGGAGCCAACCTTTCGCACGTCTTGAGAATGAATGACGGATCAGTCTGAATCAACAGAAGGATGTTTCATCATAGCTGAAGCCATTTTATAATGTAGAAATTCCGCTTTCCTATTTTAAGTAACGAAAGTCCATTCTTAAGAATGTGTTGTCCAACAACTAAAACGCTCTCAGGATTTGTTACTTGTCTGTGGTTTATACTGACTCCGCCTTCTGTTATCATCCGATACCTAAAAGTAGAAATGTTTAGTAACTAGATAAATCCAATCACTGTTGATCTCTTCCTATAATAAGATACATCAATATTGTATTTCATTTAAATTCAATAGTTCTCCAGTTGAAACCTGTAGCACTAAACTTGTCTTCACATTCACTAGCTCTCCCTCCCTTTAATGCTCTTCTAAAGGAACAACTTTAAGGCATAATAGGTTTCTTGTTTGGTGGAAAAAAGGGCTGGGATATCGCTCAGCTCTTGATAACACTGTTCAGGGGATAGTGGTTTAAAAATGAAGTGAATTAGAATAATGGAAGATCATTTATTTTCTGGAGGGCAAAATCACAGAAAAGGAAACCCCAGGACAATGCTGCTTTTAATGATCCACGCATAAGATACAAGTCACAACTAGAAGTCCCCGTTGATAGGTTCCTGGAAACTGAATTTAAGTGAATCAACACGTAACAAAACCAGTTTTACCAGAGTTCCTGTGGCACATTTCTGGTCACTTCTAAATAAAGAACCCAAACACTCTATTATGAAATAAATGTGAACTATACATTTAAGATCAGTAAAAACAAGATAATGATTTTCCCAACCCACTAATTCCAGCTGTGTGGCCGGAGCTTTTCCCAGCAGTGCAGAGTTCAAGGCAGACACCCACCCTGGACAGGGCGTCCATCCACTGCAGGGTTCTCTTTCTCGCGTGCTCTCTTTCTCTCTCTCTCTCTCTCTCACACACACACACACACACACACACGACTGGGACCATGCAGACACACTAGTTCACCTAATGTGCACATCCTTTGGGATAAGAGAGGAAACGACAGAACGTGGAGAAAACCCACGGAGATGTTGGGAGAATGTACAAACTCCCCACAGTGGCCCTGGCTGGAAATGTTTTTTTCCTCATGAACATTTCAATGAAATGACATTATTTGAAGATCTGCTGTTATACTGGTATCTACAGAAATCGTTAGGAAACTTGCTTATGAAACTGGAAAATCCTTTAACATTACATTCTTAGTCTATGCAAATAAAGGCAAACTTATAATACAAGAAAGCAAAATTTCTAGCTAATTTCAGAATTGGAAAATCAGTCACTGATCTAATAAATTCTAGATCACTAACAAAGATTTTTGATGGCCTATGTAAATAGGTTTTATTCAAGTTATCAAATTCATTCTGTAAGCGTTTACAGAGCCTTCACTATGCACTAAATGTAACTAGAGCCAGACAAGTGAACGGTTATGACAAACTGATTAAATTCGAAGAGCTATGAGAGGCTGCTCTAGGAGCACACTGTGGGGTGGGGGGTGGGGGTTGGAGGTGGGGAGAGGGGTAGAAAGTAGGGATCGGAGAGTTTCCTGAAAGGCACTGAAACTGGGAGACTAAGCAGCAGTTATTTTCACAAACAGGAGGAAACATGGGAGCAGCTAGAAGGAGGTGAGATTTCAGTAGGAGGAGGGCTGGAGCATGAGGCCTTTCCGTCTACAAGGCAAATGTTGGTTTTCTCCTGTCTGTCACCGAATAAAATTAAGAAATGACTACTAGACATGGTTTTAGCTCAACAGTAAAAGATATACATACTTAAGGACAGGCTTCTTCCTCTTAGGAAGTGTTATTTTAGGCTGTTTGCTATAGTTTCCAGATCACATTCTACATTTTGTTTAAATGCCTAAGCCAACCTTACCCAGTGTACACAATCTAAAAAAATGTCTATTATTGAGAACTCTGGCTAAATCAGATACAGTGTCATCTTAAGTAGCAGTAAACTTTGGTACCAGTAAATAAACCACTAGAACAATTCAGGAGGGGGAAACATTTTATTTCCACAGTGAGAAAAATTCTTAGAACCACTGACTCACTGTGGGGAAGTGCATGATACCACCCTCAATTCGGTGAAAATTAAGTAGACTAGCATATTAGAAAGTCAGTAAAGTGGTGTGGAGTAAAGTCAGGTGATGGAGAGAAAATGGGTATTTTCTCTGTATGGAGTAACTAAGGCTCTTTAGGAGAGAGGCAAACCAAAAGCAATTGGGAAGAAAACCAAAACTATAAGGGAACATATCCTTCCTAATCTCGAGCACATGCTGGTAACTGTGTGACTTATGCAAGAACTGTGGATGAAGGCCTAGCGCCTTCTGGCTCACTAATGCTTCACACTGTTTCATTATTAAAATGGGTAAGTGCCAAATACAATGCAATAATATCACATAACTGAGGAATTTAGATAGTCCACCTGCTTCCTGAATAAGAAAATTCACAAGAGGAGTAAGTGCATGCAATGTGTAATAATGGTCTTAAGAAGTTACGTTGTATGCTTACTTCATTTTTAGAAATTCAGCTAATATTTTAAACAGGTTGGACAACCCCTCAGTTCGCCCGAATAAAGAGGATATAGACTGAATATGAGCGGGCTCCTGTGACTCCATCTACTTAGGGCCTCTGTCCCTGTGATCTCCCCAAACTGTGACCAGGCCTGAGCTGACTGACCCCAGTGTATTTATTCAATATACTGATCCCTTAAATGCAAGCCCTTTCTAATGTTGAAGGAAAAACTAGGTTAGATTTAATAAGACTTCATAGAAAATTCAAGCTATTTTCAGCAGTAAGTAATCTCAGTTTTCACTTTTAATGCTCAGACTAACCTAACTTCTGAGAGGACTGAGATGCCATTAAAGCACTCTCAGGAAACCACCGTCTCTGGAAATTGCTGTGAATTGTAACATTTAATGCTGAATTAACTGTGAATCTGAAAGTTAAATAGTCTTACCCCCGGGGACCATCTGGAATGGCATTTGCTTTGCGACATGTATCTAGGACGCTTGTTCCAGGGTCAAGAACTAATTCAGAAAAGGAAGCTTCTTTAAACAACTCTTTTAACTCTTGGTCAGACATGACCTCCAGCGCATCTACGCTGCTATGATAAAGGGCTTGTGTACACCTGAAAAACAGTTTGAGAAAAACATGTGAGTGCTTGCTTATTCAGAACATGTTCAGTAACCAATTATGAAGTGTCCATTATGTTCTAGATGAAAAGTTTTTGAAACAGCTGCATTTGTCTTATATAATTTATAACCTTAGTTCAGGATCCTCTTTCCCTACGGTAGAGAAAAGTCATTTTCAAGCAATTGAGGCACACACTGACAACCCTTGTTGGTGGTAAAAGACAACTCTAAAGCAGTGCGGCTCTAAATTTTCTCAAGTCTATTAACTAAACTTCACCAAGTGTCAATTATTTGAAAACGCCACCTTTTAGCAGAATCCAGCCCTTCCTGTCCATGAACAAGCTTTGTGACCTCAGCGGCCAATCTCTTCTGAGGAGCCCGCTTCTCTGGCTCTTTGACGTGCTGCTGCATGATGTGCTCAATCTCTGGGAGCGGCAGAAAAGTGAAGAGCTTCAGGTACCTCCAGGACAAAAAATAAAGAGAGATTTGTATCACATACCTAATTTTTATCTCCCATTTCCTTTACTTTTATTTTTAATTGTGAAACATAACAAATATGCAGAAATGTAGCAAACAGAAGACAACAAACATGCCATCCAAACTGAAGATGTTACTGTTTTGCCATCTTTGTTTCAGATCTTTTAAAAGTCACAAAATAACAGTCACAAAAGGTCTCAGCCCCATTGTATTCTCCTTCTTCCCCTCAGAGATAAGCACACTCCCTCCCTGTCTCTCTACCAGTGACCTTGCTGTGTGGCCATCCAGGACCTATGGATAAATCTTGTTTTCCAAAGTTTTCTGATGGTTGTTGCAAAGGCACATCTGTCATCACAGTAAGAACTACAGAGGCCAGTCCAGCCACAGCATTCATTAGCTTTGATCAGGGAATGTCTGTGGAGCTTGACACAAGTAGGATGGGCCCAGGTGAACCCCCTCACTCATTTCTAGACAGCAGCATTGCCATCAAGAGGCTGACACAAACACCACAGTAAGTTTACTTTCAACAACACTCGGTATTGCCAATTCTCTGTTTAGTCATTCTGGCAGGTATACAAATGACATTTTATTGTGCCTTTATCTTATATTTTCTTCTTAACTGAGTAATCTCTTCACTTGTTTTTGGCCTTTTGGACAGTAAGGTGCCTGTTCAAGTCTCTTCTCATTTTTCTACCGGGCTGTCAGTCTTTTTCTCCTTGGCTTACAGAAATTCTTTATATTAATTTGAATATAAACTCTTTATCAATTAGTTACACGGACTGAAAATATATTCTCTCACTTTTAAAGGTGAACTTTTGAGGAACAGCGGATCTTAATTTTAAGTTAGTCTAATTTATCAGTCTTTTTCTGTGTCCCATATTTAAGAATTTTTCCCTATCCCAGTCATGAAAATATTTCCCTATTTATTTTCTAAAAGCTTGTCTTTTGTAATAGATTTAGGTTGATATCTTAAATAGAATATAAGTTAAAAAAAACCTCAAAATACTATGAAGTGTACATAGATACAGAGAGATTCAATAATAAAACAGGAGCTTATGAACTTAATTTTCATCAGCACACTATTAAGAAAGAACTCACCTTTCTACTGAATCATCTGGCTGCCTGACAAAGAACTGATACAATTCAAATGGAGATGTGTTATCTCTGTTTAGCCAAACAGCATTGCCAGCAGACTTTCCCAGTTTTGCTCCAGTTGTACTTGTAATTAGAGGAAGAGTGATTCCAAATACATCATCTCCAGTCAACCTATGAATAAAGAGAAACTACATTACGCGTTTCAGGCACAGGTGGTGGTAGCTTCCACCCACTCCTCAAAATTCAGGGTGGTCTCTTGCTCTACTCAATTTCTGTGACTTCCTAAATCTGGATTCTTGTCCCCCTTACTGCTTTCACAGCATTCACTCTATTTCGGCATTTCTCATTGTGAACTGCAATCAAACCAGTGACTCTGGGCAAGCCAAGGGGAAGTGCTGTTTAACTAGGGCCTAAAAATGTTTAAAGGCTGGGTGGATGAGACATACCCAAGTTAAAAGGGGAGTCAGGTAGCAACACCAAAGAGATAACTTGCAGGGATTTTAAAAATGAGTACCACATCAGCTAGCCTTGTGGTTCATCCCTCTCAAGAAAATGCCATTAAATTCTATGTTATTTGGAGTTGAAAAAATTTTTTGAGATGCCATTTCCTGCAGATCTCTAGAATACATTCCATACCTAACACTTGAATTCAGCCCTTTACTTCTCAGTAGCCAGTTACAATATTAACACCATTACAGATCCTTAATGGGGATAAAACCAAGAAGGGCTTGAACGAAGGACGTCATTTCAGTCCTAAAAGTGCATCGTCAGCTATTTCGTGCGTAAATTATTTGGTCCCAGGATTTCTCCAGGATCTAAAGACGCTTACTTGTTGATGAACTCGTATCCCGACATGATATTGCCCAGCTGATCAGATCCACCCAGCTGGACCCGGCATCCATAACGTTGGAAAAGGTAGTAGAAATCATAAGCCTGGAGCACCTGGTATAAGAACTCGCACAAGCTCATGCCCTCCGGGCTCTTAAGCCGAGTCTGGACGCTCAGCCGGCTCAGCAGCGTGCCCATGCGGAAGTGGCCGCCCACTGCCGCTAGGAAGTCCACCAGGTGCTGCTCCTGGTACCACGACGAATTGTCCAGCACAGTGAAGCTGCCCCATTTACGCCCATCAGTGAAGAGCTGCTGGTGATTAGCTGCCACAGTCTCGAGCCCTAGGCGTAGGGCGTGCGCGTTGCTTCTCACACGCTTTGCGTCCAGCGCCTCGCGCTCCTTCGTGCGGCCGCTGGGGTCTCCCAGGCGCGCAGTGGCACCTCCCACTAGCGCGATCACGTTGTGTCCGGCTCTTTGGAAGTGAAACAGGCTCAGCAACGCTAGCAGGTGCCCCACATGAAGCGACTCCGCCGTAGGGTCGAAACCGCAGTAGATGGTCTGGGGAAAGTTACCTGCCCTGTTACCGTCGAAGAGCTCTAGCAGTTCTATCTTCGTGCCTTTCTCGGGGAAGAACTCCTTGAACAAACCCCGAGCCTTCTGCATCGCTAGCAACCCCTTAACGCCCGAGTGGGTCTCACGTCGCCCCGGGGGCAAGACTTCCAATGGGCCTGGGGTACAAAACCACCGACCCCGGGAAATGCACCGCAACATGGGCGCCGCCATCTTGATGGCGGCCCGAAAGGAATGCTGGGATTCTCGCCACGCAGTTTAGCGTAGGCATCCTACAAATTAGTACAGAATTAGCTTCAGTGTTTTTGTGCGCATGCCCGGATAGAGCGGGGGTGGAGGGAAGGGGGGAGCGGGGGTGGAGGGAAGGGGGGAGCGGGGGTGGAGGGAAGGGGGGGGGGGGGGGCGGGGGGTGGAGGGAAGGGGGGGGCGGGGGGGCGGGGGGTGGGGGGAAGGGGGGGGCGGGGGGGGCGGGGGGTGGAGGGGGGGGGGCGGGGGGGGGGGGGGGTGGGGGGAAGGGGGGCGGGGGGGGGGGGGGGGGGGGGGGGGGGGGGGCGGGGGGGCGGGGGGTGGGGGGAAGGGGGGGGGGAGGGAAGGGGGGGGCGGGGGGGGCGGGGGGGGCGGGGGGGGCGGGGGTTGCTTAGTTAGGGATCCGGCGTTTTAGGCAGTAATTGGAGCTTTGCTACCCAAGGGTGGATTTCGCTTCCTGGCCACTTTAAATTCTCTAAAACTTATTTTTTTCGCCTGTAATGTAGGTGTCTATCCTTATAGTTCTTACATCATAGGGCTGTTGTGAGGATTAAGAATTAAAGTACTTGGCACATAGCGCGCTACAAATAGTAGCTTTTGTTTAAATTTCCACGTCACAAAATTATGATGCGCAAGTCTTGTTTCTCTACGAAAATTTGCAGAGCCTGTGAGGGGTTAGGAATTAGTTTAATTTCTTGGAGAGATACGGAGTAGGCGCTGAGGAGCAAACTTCCTAATACTGATTTCCCAAACGGATGAAAGCATCTCAGTCGCCAGTATTCATTAGCTTTTCCAGGAGGTGGCAGTCTTGTCCAAGCTATAGCCAAACAAATTCGATATAATAAACCAGAAAGCCCTATGGTTTATTTTAAATTACAGGTAAGCAGGTGGGACATGGCTTTAGGATAAGTGGATTCAAATTAGTAATCACATCGCCGTAGCATTTTGCTAGGTGCTATCAGTACTCCACTCAGTAGGGACAGACTCTTGTTGGCAGCTGGCTGGCAGGGAATCAGCTCTAGAACTCCATTGTAGAACCTTATTTCTCGGACTACTTTCAATACCAATTCTTTTAGGTTGTGTTCCCTGGGAAACAGACTCAAACTGGAAATTTGTGTGAAGGGAGATTATTGGAGAATGACACAGTGATGGAAACAGAGTTGGGCAGAGGGAGAAATTGAACTGTGAAAAGTTTGCAGTACATGTCTCAGACAATGCCATAGGGGACGCTGGACCTGGGAGTTCCATCAGTCATTCTGAATTGAGGCAAGAGGACAGGCTTTTGCGCCCTATTATTAACCAGTCATTAAATGTGGGTCACCCCTAAAGAAGGAGGCAAAACCTTGGGCAAGGCTTTGGCGGAAGGCGAGATGCAGGAGAGGACACAGCTGAGAACCATCAGCACCAGAATTTTCATTAGCGGGGTGGCCTGGTCCTTGAGTCTGGGCCATGCTCCAAACCATTTCCTACAGGACCTTTCCACTTACTAATATTGTAACGTCATTTAACAAAATGAAAAGTTTAAAAATTAGTTTCTTTGCATGTATAATTATTAGTGAAGTGGTTTATCATTGTCAAATAGTCCCTTCAATAGGATGTTTAGATGGTTATTCTACAAGCTATGTAACATTATTCCAAATGTTGAAGAAAATAAGCAGGGTGTATTCTATCTCTTATGCTGATATTCAAAATGTCTTACAATTTGCGATTATAACCTGTTTATCTGCAGCCTTATTTCACACCACTTCAGTTGGGGACATACTTCAGTGTCTGTGGCAGGGAACTCTCCTAAGCACACAGCAAATGGTGCTTTTTGTTTAGTGCCCGACATCCAGGAAGATTTGAACATTTTTAAAAGAGTATCTTTCATCTTTGAGGTTTCTGGTTAATATGACAGATAACTTATCTGTGGCTTTTACAAGTATGTTAGTAATTTTATTCCAGAAAGTATGACTTCATGACTTAATTACTTCAGGGAAACATACTTTTTTTTTATAGAAACATGTACCTGTGTCATCATTACTTGGTGGACCCATGCCCAATGGAGAACTTCTGTGCAAAAACAGTAAACTTATATCTGACATTAGAATTTATTGTAAGGTCTTTATAAAAATAGACCGAAGTTCTTCTTGGTCTCTTCTTAAGTTTAGTTATATCACAAATGGGTAACAAAGTCTGGCAGAGAAGTTAGTACTTCACACATAGCTAGCTTTAGCTTTTGTTTAAAATTCCATGTTATAAAATTGTGATGCGCAACACTTGTTTTTCTACAAAAACTTGCTTGGTCTCTTCTTAAGTTTAGTTATATTGTGAACAGGTAACAAAGTCTGGTACAGAAGTAAGTGTCAGAGCAGGTTCCAAGAGACTCAACAGTGGCTCAGCGACAGCAACAACGATTTCCCTTTTATGATCTGTCATGGCATAGCAGGGAAGATGAGGCTTTGTCCAAAAGACAGGAGCAGAAGAAGGAGGTGGAGCTTTTAAATCTTTGGAGTTGTTGACATGGCTTGAATTTTATTGGACTGGACCCAGGAGTTGAGTTTTGGGGGCAAGAAAAAGTGCACAAGTTGATTTTTGCTGTTTTTGCTGTCAAAAGTGAATGAACAGGTGCTGGCTGGTGTTACTCAGTTGGCTGTGTTGTCCCATAAACTGAAAGGTCGCTGGTTCGATCTCCAGTCAGGGCACGAGTCTAGGTTGCAGGATCAACAGATCAGTGTTTTTCTTTCCCATTGATGTTTTTCTCACTCTCTTTCTCATGCCATTCCCCTTTCTCTAAGTAAAAATGAATAAAGTTTTTTAAAAAGGTAAATGAAGAGGGTTAAAAAGTACTTCAGAAAATATGTTTTATCTCAAAAGTGGTAACTTGAAGCTAGCTGACTTTGAATTAGGGGCACATCTACTTTGCAATTACCCTATGTATAATAAAATGCCACATAAATATTCACTCTGATGCATAATCCCTGGTTTCCATGGTCTAGTGTTTGAAATGTAAACAATTATAAATATGCAGGAACACCTTGGAGATATTGCGGGTTCAGTTCCAGACCACTGCAATAAAGCAAGTGTTGCAATAACACCAATCATATGGATTTTTTTGTTTCCCAGTGCATATAAAAGTTGTGTTCACACTATACTGTAGTCTCTAAATAAACAATGTACCTACTTGAATTTAAAAGTGCTTTATTGTTTACCACAGAACACAGACGCATAACGCACGGACAAAGACAACAGTGCAGTGAGGGCCAGAGGGAAAGGGCACTGGGTGGAGGTTGGCAAAGCAGGGAACCATAAGGATATCTGCAATAATGTCAACAATAAAAGAATAAAGAGCAAATAAAAAATAAAAATACTTCACTGCTAAAAAACGCTCACCATTATCTGAGCCTTCAGTGAGTTGTAATGTTTTCAATTCACTGAACCACACCGGCCAGGGACATAGCTGTAATGTTTTCACTGGTGGAAAATCTTCCCTTCAATTTGTAAAAAGAACGACAGCTATGAAGCACAATAAAATGAAGTATGTCTGTAACAGCATTCAAAAGGCACAAAACGAGTAAATATTAATAGTGTTTTAATTGGTCTCTCACAGGTTATGCCCAACAGTTTAAAGATAGGCAGTGATGCGGACACGGGCCCGCAGTGTCCATGACATTATGGATGAGTCAAGACAAATTCACACAGACTACCGAGTCCTGTGGAGGAAAGGGGACGGCACAGCTACTCTCTCAAGGGGAGAGCGCCTTGGAGCAGCCTGGCCACTCTCTCAAGAGGAGAGTGCGCAGACCCTTGCCTTGACAAGCTTTTATTGACTTTCTAATAGCATACATCAAAGAAGGTTTTCATTCATTGTACTTAGGTTTGCTTTAGGTAATTACCTTTTATAGATAGCACCGGAAGGGATGTTACTGATTACTTCTTACAGATTAACAAGGAAAAAATGTTGCAAATGCAAAGGAATGATAAGAGTAACAGGTCTGGTTATACTTCAATCCTTGGGAGAATTAGCACAGACTTCAGGAAGTGACTTTAAATATATGCAGCAAGCAATTGCTGCCTGAACTCAGGGTGAGAGTTTAAGTAAGAGCGAGTCACAAAGCAGCCTAGGTATAACGCAGGCCTGATTTCCCATGGGAGAACTTCTTCACAGGTGTGGTCCTGCACGCCAACTCACTCCCCACTGGTTTTCCACATGGGTGCTGAGCTACATTTCCACATCTCACGAAGCGGTTCCCTACAAGGCAGTACCACTTAATTTGGAAGTGTTTATCTTAAGCACGAATCACATTCAAACACAGCAGAGATCTGGCTGGACTGAAACTCAGCTGCCTAAAAGTTCAGCAAAATGACAGCAAAAGGTGCCTGAGGAATTCTGATCATTATAATCACTATAAAATATGGTTCCCACTTGTGTCTTCTCTTCTCTTGGAGCCTGGAGGTATAGGTTTCTTCTAGAAGATAAGTGATGACCCAGGATGCAAAAGGAAATGGGTGGGAACAAAGAATAGAAATGGCAATTAATTCATTTCAGAGATTTAGGGATAGTCTTCTTCCAGGTGAAGTGTTTCTATGATATTCCTATTTCCTAGTACTAGCAAAAATTTCTAAAAGCTGGTTTCAATCTTGTGTTGTGTAATAATTAATAAATTAATCTGCCTCATAATTTCATCCTCTCTCATGGGTTCCCTGCTGCCATTATTCTTGAACCTCATACGGTAAATCCTAAAGATCCTCCCACCCTGCCCATCCTTACCTGAGGCCATCTGCTTCCCTTTCACTCCAGAGGAATTCCTCCCAGCAAGCTTCCCCTGCCTTAGGTGGGGCAAGAGACCATGCTCTGACTGTCCAGGCTCATCTGCCCCTAAAACATGTTGAAATGTGATCAGTAATGGTTGTCATCCTTACAAGAAAGGAAAGACTATTAAATCTGATTAAAAATATAATTTTATGTAAGAGGTGTCTTGAAACCTAGTCTCCGG